CTCAATGTGTCGACACTGGCCTCGCAAACGCCTCTCCAGACGACGCTCACCGCCAATCAGGCGATCGCTGGACAGATGACACAGCCGTTGACGCTCAAGACCACGCCGCAGACCACCATCAGTATGACACCACTGACACCGGCGCAGCAACAGCAGCAGCAACAACAACAGCAACAGTTCCAGCGGCTCAAGGTATGTGCCATTTCTCATGACACGATTGTCTCATTCGTGGTGCGTGTGACTCAATGGTGATGTCTGTGTGGACGGGTAGGTGGAGGACGCCCTGTCGTACTTGGATCAGGTGAAGTTCAAGTTCAACAATCAGCCCCAGGTCTACAACGACTTCTTGGACATCATGAAGGAGTTCAAGTCGCAGTCCATCGACACTCCGGGTGTCATCCAACGGGTGTCCACACTATTCAAAGGACATCCGGAGCTCATTGTGGGCTTCAATACGTTTCTGCCGCCGGGCTATAAGATTGAGATGCACTCCAATGACCAGGTATTCAATCCTACCATTTGGGTCCGATTTCAATGACTGTTTGCTTTGCAAATGTTTTTTGTTTGAAATTTCTCAACAATCTTATATCAATTCATTTGTAATTAATAATTGGATTATAATTGCTATTATATTTAAGTTTATGTCATATTGTTATGAATATTATTATTTATCTATAAATTAGATTAGTTTATAGATTGTATGCCATATCTCTGTATGAACTCCATATAAACAAATGACTAATATTGGCTCTAAATTGCATTAAACCTCTGAATACAGTATTGTTTATGAAAAGCATTTGTGAATTAACAGTACACTGCTTGCGGGCTAACCCTAATCAACCCAATTATGTCTGAATGCCATATAAATGGTTTAAAATTTGAAAATCAGGTGAACGTATCGATGCCTAACGCGCCCAACACTATCATAATGTCTGGCACGCCGTTGGGAGCGACACCAGCGCTGGTAGGCGTGCCTCAACACCAGGTGTCAGTGATACTGCCGAAAGTGAATCAGACGACCAGTTTCAACGCGGCTCAGGCACACCATGCGGCCATCAACGTGGCGCTCACGGCCGCCGCCAACCAGTCCCGGGTCACAGCCGCCCATCACGACACCACTGTCCACACGACGCCACAGCAGTCGACGCTCAGCGCAGTGACCGCCGCCACCAACAGCACCGGCGCCACCGTTGCCAACGGGTCGGCCACTGGCGCGGCAGCCAACAACGCGGCCCAACCCGTGGAGTTCAACCACGCCATCAATTATGTGAACAAAATTAAGAATCGATTTCAGGGACAGCCGGAGATCTATAAGCAGTTCCTCGAAATACTTCACACATATCAGAAGGAACAGCGCTCTATAAAAGAAGGTTTGTTTGCTTTTCGTGTGGTTTCGGGTCCTAACATGTGTTTGTCTGGTGTAAGGAACGGCAGTTCAGGGCCAGAAGATGTTGACTGAGACCGAAGTGTTCACTCAAGTGGCGAAACTCTTCCAAAATCAAGAGGATTTGCTCCAAGAGTTCAGTCAATTCCTTCCCGACGCCAACGGCTCGAGCGTGTCGTCGGCCGGCGCCTCGTTGGCACTGACGGGACAAATGCCGGTGACGTTTGGCCACCCATTGGCCCATTCGGTGGACACCATCGCCACGCATACGCCTGTCAACGATCATTCAGCTATAGTTAAAAAGCCAACAGTTGGCCGACCACTTGTCAGCGCTCAACCATTTCAGCCTCGAATCCAATTAAAGCAACGCTCACACGAATCATCGATTACTCATCACTCATCCGCTAAGGTATACCACATTTAGACATTAGTTTGTCATTGAATTTATGAGTAAAAATATGCCTCGTTTTGACTGAATACTAAAATTGACTTTAATTTGCGTGAAATAGCGCCAGAAAATGACATCTCTTCGGGACGTATCGTTAGCTGAAGCGGGAAAATACGGGTCACTCAACGAGTTTGCATTCTTTGATAAGGTTTGTGTCCGTGAATGGCATATTGGCTGCTGTTTTGAACGATTCGCGTATAAATAGTCATCAAATGATTGTATGTTTAGGTGAGAAAATCGTTGCGAAGTTCAGAGGTTTACGACAACTTCTTGCGGTGTTTGGTTCTCTACAACCACGAGATACTGTCGCGAACAGAACTCGTACATCTCGTCACACCATTTCTCGGGAAGTTTCCCGAACTTCTCAAATGGTTTAAAGACTTCTTGGGCTACAAAGAGGGCGCTTCGGCCTCTATTTCGACCCTCCATTCAAAAGAACAGTTGAATTCAAACCATTCGAGCCTTCCGTTAGAGGGTATGTTTGCTGTCATATCACTTGTGATTGAATTAATGTTTGGTTAATGTGTTGTGTTTACCGTATAATTTATGCGAAGGTCTGTCCCATCGCGTGGCCTCAATCCGTGAGAGAGAGCGCGAGAGAATGAGCTCAGAGATGGGAATGGAGATCGACTACAGTTCATGCAAACGTTACGGCGCCTCCTATCGAGCTCTTCCTCGTAATTACGTGAAGCCTGAGTGCACGGGTCGGACACCACTGTGTCGTGAAGTGCTGAACGATACGTGGGTGTCGTTCCCCTCGTGGTCTGAAGATTCGACATTTGTCTCATCGCGTAAAACCCAATACGAAGAATATATCTATCGGTGCGAAGACGAGCGCTACGAACTGGACGTTGTCTTAGAAACCAATTTAGCGACAATTAGGGTCTTAGAAGCGGTTCAGAAAAAGATGTCGCGTATGACTAATGAGGACAGGAATCGATTCAAATTGGATGACTCGTTGGGCGGAACCTCTGCTGTCATCCATCAGAAGGCAATTAAACGCATTTATGGCGATAAGGCTCAAGAGATCATCGAAGGCTTGAAGAAGAATCCTTCGGTTGCCGTTCCTCTCGTTATCCGACGACTTATGATGAAAGAGGAGGAGTGGAGAGAAGCGCACAAACAGTTCAATAAGATATGGAGAGAACAGAACGAAAAGTATTATCTCAAGTCTTTAGATCATCAGGGAATCAGTTTCAAGCAAAACGACATTAAGTTCTTGAGGTCGAAGTCATTGTTGAATGAAATCGAGACCATCTTCGAGGAGCGTCACGAACAGATCGAAGCTAATCCCGAAGCCATTGACTCACAGCAGCCGCACATGACGTTCTCATATAAGGACAAGTCGATGATCGAGGAGTCATGTAATCTGATTATACATCACGTCAAGAGACAGACATCCATTCATAAAGAAGACAAACAAAAGATTAAGCAATTGTTGAGACATTTTATTCCAGACCTGTTCGCCACTCCCAGAGGAGAGCTCTCTGACGATGAATTAGACGACGAAACCGATGACAAGAGTAGGCCTCAAAGTAATTGTAATTTAAATGTGAAAACGACTGAGAATTTAAGTAAAAGTACCGAAAAGGAGGATAAAAAGACTTCACAGAGTTTGGGTTTGTATAGAAAATGAATTTTTAATTCAACTCTTGTTGAAATGAACTATTTTTGGTCTTAAAGCGGATAAACCAGACTCACTCTCATCTAATGATAGCAATGGACAGCACAACCCAATGCTAAACACGAATCCTAATGAGAAATATTCAATGTTTTTCGTCAACAATAATTGGTATTTATATTTCCGCTTACATCACATACTATGCGAACGTTTGGCCAAAATGTACGAAAGGGCAGAGATTTTGGCCGCAGAAGAGGCCAAAGAGAAGTTGGATCGCAAGCGGTCCACAGCGTTAGCCCTGAGACTAAAGCCCAACAGTAAGTCATTTGACATTCAATGAGTTGTGAATGATTTGTCTGATTATGTGATATTGAATTGTAGACGAAGTGGAGGTCGAGGACTACTTTCCCGCATTTATCGATATGATTAAACAAGTACTCGATGGCAATCTGGACGCCAATCAGTTTGAGGATATGTTGAGAGAGATGTTTGGCATTCACGCCTACATTGCGTTCACTCTCGACAAAGTTGTCCAAAATATTGTCCGTCAGGTACTGTCCGCTTAAAACTTTTTATAATGACTCGCATTATAAGTGTTTGTTTTTGTTGTGTCGTTCAGTTGCAACATATAGTGTGCGACGAGGCGTGCACTCAATGCACAGATATGTTCAACGAGGAGTCCAAGAATAGCGGGACTGGCGGTGAGTGCGCCACCGCTCACCACAGGATCGCCAATGAGTCCGCATATCAGAAAAGGGCCGAAACGTTGCTATGCGACGAGAATTGTTTTAAATTCATTTTCTACAAAAGTGAGGGTAAGGTTACCATCGAAATGGTGGACACGGACTCCGATGATAGCAGTGACGAACTCGACGCCATCGAGAAGTGGTCGGACTATGTGGAGAGGTATACGCGAGAGATCGGTGTACCGGATGAGATGAAAGCCCTGTTGTCACAAAAGCCGCTATTTTTGAGGCGAAATATTCGGTCCTTTAAATCGCGAACAAAGAATGAAAGGGAAGACCTCTTCGACAAGGAGTCGGAGATTAAGCGCGAAAAGAAGGAAATTAATCGCGAAAATGATTCCGTTTTGTCCAAAGCGGTGCCCAAAACGGATTCTACTGATAATAAAGAGACCAAAAGTGGCCCAAAAGTAGATCACAATTCCGAAGAGACGTTGGATAAGGCGTTAAATATGATTGAATCGGTCGACAATATTGAGTGCAAATTCGATGTCTCGAAGTTTAAGTTGGTTTTTGTTGTTCAAAGCGAGTCCGTTATGTATCGTAAAAACTCTATCATTAAAGCCAAACAGGTATTGATTGCTATTCGTTATGAACTCTTTATTTTGGATTTTGTGTATAATATGAATGATTAATCGGTGGCATTGTTTGCATTACAGTCTCATAAGAGAGTGTCGAAGCGATTATTTCATAAATTTAACGAATGGCACGAGAAGTGGTTGAGTGACAACAGTACGTACGACCAGCAAAAGCAAATACAGCAGTGGTTAGTGTCGAGCGACTTGAGTACAGCGTCGACCACCACCGGCTCAACGACTGCCCCCGAATGCAAAGCCAGTGTCGCCGGCGACAGCAAATCGACGTCCGGCGCGACCGCGAAGTCCGCGAATGTCAAAACAGTCGCACCCGTGACCACCAAAACTACTCAATTAGTTATTAATAACGAAAATAGCCCTCCGTTTCGGAAATATTTTAAATATAAAACTGCATTAAAGTCTGAATAAATTCTTTGCCCAATAATTATTTGACGTTTAATTATATAAACAATATTCTCGTTTGACTTTATTTTCCTATAATTAGTCGTTATTTTTCACATTCAATACATTGATTATAACTATTTTCTCTCAATTATATAATGAAAACAGAAATCAAATGTAATTTTGTAATTTAAATATCCATTTGAAAATGAAACTATAAATTTATTTAATTGTCAAAACGCCTGTATAATTGCATTCATTTGAATTCATTTAACGCTAGTAATCGTTATGAGAGCTATTTATATGCAATTGTTTTTTGATTGATCTCTCATTTCGGGTGCGATTTTAAGTTAAAGTTTTTTTGTGTTAATTATTTGATTTTCTTTCATTAAAATAAAGTGTTTATTCATTTTTCATTGTTTTTTACGACAACAAAATTCTGTGTTTAATATGTTATTAAAGAATAAGAAATATAAGTTTTGAATAAAAATGAATTTTGATAATATTGACACGTTTTGTTTAATTAAGAGTGTAAATAATTAACACTTTAAAACTTTAAATACAGTACCACAATGAGTGGTCAGTTATGGCATGGATTAAGTGCTATTGAAAGCGTTTTATCACAACGAATGACAAGTTATTACAGAATTTCTTTGTGCGAGAAATCGGTTCAGAATTAGAAAATAGTTTGAATTTTTAAATAATGTCAAAATATAGTTCACTTTAATACACAATATACTGTATAAAACTCGATACACAGTATATGGAGTAAAACCTATCGAAAAGATTTTAAGCTAAGAATTCATTTTCATTTTGATATATACTTCCGGAATTTATTTCGTATTATTTATTAAGAAAACGTGTATTAAAAATAAAATATTGAATTATTGTATTCACTCGTAGTTTTTAATATGAAAAACGTAAGAAAAATGAAGAGAAAAAATATATTAATAATTATTTCAGAGCACGTCTTAGAAGAGGCAGAGAGAGAGAGAGAGAGAGAGAGAGAGAGAGAGAGAGAGAATATGACTAAATCTAAATTAAAGTGAGAATCGCATCCAAAAACATAAATCATAGCAACGGAAGAGGAGAAGAGAAGAAAAGAGTAAAGAGTTTATTAATAAATATAACAAATATATAGAAAATTATTGTTTCGAATACAACAGAAAATTATTTATAAAATATTTGTTGCTTTCATATCTACTTATGTACGAAAGGTTTGAATGCTATTGAAAGCAATTCCGATATAAAAGAGTATTACTTTTGCTTATTAGCTATCAATACATAATATGTGAGAATATTTCTAAAAACGTTGAGTAACTGCAATAGAGTTGATAGAAATCCTCAAATATTTAACTGAAACTCAATTCACAATATAATCGAAGAGACTTTTGGATAATATTATAGCCATAGTATAGAATAGTATAGTTATAGCCATTACTGCCAACCATACTCTCAGTGTCTGTATGACTGATTCACGACCACCTCATATCTGGCGCACAACAGCATCCCATCCCTACACAGAATTAATGGTACATTCAGTTCATAACAATACTTACGCCGAACACAGTCACAGCTGCCTCTCCTCCACCACCACTTAGTCCTCTCTCCCATCATCTCTCCCCACCCTCTCTCCACATCTCTCTCTCTCTCTCTCTCTCTCTCTCTCTCTCTCTTCCCAACTGTATATAAATTGCAATTCAATTATTATATTGTTCTCTCAATTTCAACATTTGGCTCATTATAGGCTTATTATAATAATAAAAAACTAGACAAATGAGACAAAAACAGAACTATTATTCGCTAATTCTGTTCACAATTAAAGCACAAGAAATATAATGTCTGAACCAGTCTTACAGTACAAGTAGTCGTCAATAAGACTGAAGACAACATTCCTTATCGACAGCCCTTCTAGTCATCTCTTATAATACATGTCATACTCTGTGGTAATATTTATTTCAATTTTGAAATTCATTAATTTAATCACAAAATAAACTTCACATTCATATGAGCTTTTAGTTTTTGTTTTAGTCATCTTTTTATTGTTAATTAATGTTTTAATTGATATTTTTCTGAATAAAATTGCCATTGAATAGGGTTTTCTACGAAATAAATAAATTATAAATAGAAAAGTGAATTTTAATTTTATCCAAAGATTTAATCAAAAGTATGAATCACTAGACCCTCACAATTGGATTGCATTGGGAATGCATAGGGAATGAGTGTCAGAGAATTGGAAAAGGATTTAATGCTCAGGGCTTAGAGTGTATTGAATAAATTGTTTGAATTTGTGTGACACACAACTTATGAGTGTAGGAAAGACAAGCAAATAATCTCAATATATTGTATACAAGTACAGTATTGTGAATAACAAAAACATATGGATTGCGACCGTATAATCAATTATTTGTGATATGCAGTATTTCTCTAAATAATTATTATTGAATATATTAAATAACTAATTGAACCACTGTATCTGTCCATTATACTATGATAACTTATCTTATAACTTATGATGTTTATGTATCATATTAATACAGTATTAATATTGATGTATTTTATATTAAATAACTATTAAAGACTTATTTATTTATTTAATTTTAAATAAAGATAATCAAGTAATAAATAGAGCATAAAATATATAGAATATTTAAATATTATATACAAGAATCAGAATAAATTTTTATTTGAGAAATATTAGATTCAAATTGCATTTAATGCAATATTATTTAAACATTAAATTAAATTTTTAAACTTAAGTTTGAAACTAATATATCATTTGGAGAGAAATAACAGAAATATCTTTTACAGTAATTCGTTTCAATTGTAAAGTGAAAATGTATAACATTTTTGTCAATCATATCGTGCCATCACTTTATCTCCTCTTTTCTTCTATTACTATCATTTGGAGACAAAATATAATAAAAACCATTCAATACTTCGGACTTCAAACTCAAACTCTACTCTTTACTACTTTTCAAATCAATAGTTTGTTTAAATCGAAAATTTTATTTTGTTTTTATGTGTAATATATTATGTTATATGTTATCGATCTTTAAGTTAAAAATGAAAGTATATTCTGTACTCAAAAATATATGAAATATTTTTTTAGATTTTGCTCATAAATTCAGTAAAACCACACTTCTTAAGGATATTCTTAATCCGAGTCATAACTCATAGTAAAGGATAGTAACTATTTCTATTATTAAGCAATGTTTAATATTTTATATCAATAGATAGATAGTATTATAATAACTATAAATAGAGTTCAATACATAAAATATTGGTCTTTGATTGAGATTTCATGTTTTATTTATTAGTTTATTGTGTCTGACATTAAAGCCAAAAATTGTATCCTTTATATAGAGTTTCGGATTTCAATAAGAAATGGGATTATATTTGCAATTCTTTTCACTTTGCTCTCTCTCTCTCTCTCCCTCTCTCTATCTTCCATATGAAGACACTTTTCTGAGTCTTCCGCAAAAATTAAACTAATATTTGAGTCGAATCTAAATCTTAAGACTTATATTGCATTCAAAAACAGTTTTTCAATATATAAAAGAATATATAAATTTGCATAACTTTTATCGCATAAGCATTATGTGAATTGACATTAATTTTTGTTAGTGTAAAAATTCAGAATCAAATTAATCTTCAATATATACAATATTATACAATATTATACATTGATGATAACTTATATCATATCACAGAAGTTTAATTTAAGAAAACTTTTGATATATATTAATAATAAAAGTAAAGCACTGGTATTACATAGAAATTTCCCAAAAACCCTAACACCGAGACTGAAAGGGATCAAAATTGTCGGACAAAACAGTTTTTGATATAAATATTATGCCTTTTTTATACTTTATTTTTCATTTGACATATCATTTTCGATGCAATCATATTCTGGACGCGATTCTCGCTTTTAGCCCCAAAACAAAACACAAGACTATAAATAACGCGAATTGGGATTATATTTATGACAACTTTCTCTGTTTATCACAATTTAGTAAATATTTTTGTTTGAATAGCAATAATGTATATAAGAGTGAGAATAGGAATACATAGGAATAAAAGTTTCAAATTTCATACTTAAACCATCAAACCATCAATTATATGATATAAACTCTATATTCCAAATACATGACTCGTATTGAGAAATAGTGGCACAAAACTAAGCAAACAAATCATAAGAATTGAATAATACTTTTGATAGAAATATATGTTGTATAATATTATATACATTTCTCTCGATTTTCAATCATATTTTCAGACATTTATTAGAATCAATTGATAGGAGAACTAAAATGTTTGTTTCAATCAATTTAATCCTTATTTAAAGAATTGTATTTTCCATCAAAACATTGTATTATTAAAAAGTAATATTATTTTTCTCTGCATATGGAAAGGAAAGGCAAATGAAATTCTATAGCAATGGATGAAAATTACAGCAAATATTATATTATATGAAAGAAACGCCGATTCCATTGAAGTAGAAATGATAAGTGATTTGATTGTTATTTGTGTTGCTTTTCAAACGTACAGATAAATAGTATTGAATACCAAAGCATAACATTTTGAAGCAATAAATTGAGAGAATATTTGCAATTATTCTCAAATAAAAACCTTTTCTGTTATTGATTTTTTCGTAGTAAATGTTTGTGTGTTTACCGTCTATTTAATTAAAAGTTAGATGTTATGTGATTTTAAACATCATTTTTAATATATTTGCCAAATATATTACAGTATTATGAACTCACTTTTAACACTAAAATTAATCAACTGTTTACTGTGAATTAAATATATTGAACTAAATTTAATTAAAATATTGATAAGTTGGTCTAGAAATTGATATAACATTTGAACCAAAAATATCCTTTGCTTTCTGTGCTAAAAATAACTTAGAGATTAGTTCAACAAATCGTTATTTTGTTATTTTTAATTCGCTTTTCACTCGTTTTGTTTTAGAAACAGAACCAATGGTTTAAATGCAATTCAATTGACTTTTGCCAACATTCAGTGACTTTAATTCAAAGTCAGTAATCGTTGTAATGATCTGGACTTTAATGTTGTGAACACAGCTTTCAAATCAAAACCTGTATTACATTTAAATCAATATTTTTATTATAAACCAAATAAAGTGAGTGAAAATAAGTCACTCTATAAATCCATCAAATGCTTAAATCAATGAAATTACATAATTTGTATTATAATTAAGACACAATACCTAATGTTAACTGACACTTGAGCACATATACCGTAGCCAGGTGTCAGCGTATGGTGTGATTGGAAATTTAATTAAATCTAATCATTCTTTACATACACTATAAAGTTATCGCAGAATATATAAAATTCAATAAATTATACACAAAACTATATTTGACAATAGAGTGACACCTCTTTAATAAAAATAACTCATAATATATATGCACAAAAATGAAATAAAAATCACAAAATAACAAAAACATGTAATTAATATAGGATTTTATTATTTTTATTCATTGTATGTAATGAATATATTGATAAAAAGAGAATAATTAACTAAAATAATGCAAATGTATTCATAAAAACGATTGGTATGTGTAATGAGAATATTGTTCTAAACGTGTGAATACCTTACTTTACAATACATAATGTGTCTTAACATGAGTCTCTCATAGAGTATACTGTCTTAAAATATAGTTTATAAAATATTTGGTATATGGAGTAACACTGTAAATATGCTGTGCATCTCATTTATCCCATTTATTCTACTCTTTCTGTTGGAAACACTAAAATATTTGTTTAAGGCATGAATTGTGTGATATGTTATAATATAATAGAGTATATCGTGATCTCTATTCCCTTTACAGACACACTGAGAGCACAGAGGAGTAGGAGTGGAGTGAATGTTCGGGAATGAGTGGGAACTGGATGTGAGAGCGGAGTCTCTAATTCTCAACTCATAAATAAGTAAATATTCTTTATATTCTTGAGCCCAGAATCACAATCATTACAGATATTGTTAGAAATGGCCAAAAGTTTGGCGCTTTCCTTGCAAACGTTAATTTGTGTGACGTTTTCATCGCTTATTTCTCTCCATAAACTCAATCAAAGGTTTAGTTTTCGGTTAAATAATAAACCCATAAAATCTAATCTCCATATTATGTTTATTCTAATATTGAAAATATATTTATGATTATTGCCAACCAAAAGGCATATATTAAGTGTTTGCTTATAATATTAAAAAGCGCTTGTTATTTATTGATAATTAAATGATAGATAATAATCAGAAATGTTTATTATTTGGTGAAACAAAAAGCCGTTTTCGTGTAGTTTATGAGTGTTTATCTCAAATCACTCGACCATTTATATCACTCTTCAATAATTAGACTTTTCAAGTGTTGGCACTCATGTTAAAAATGATATAAAAAGTTTAGATTAAAACTTATTCCTCAATACATTATGTTTTTATCATATCATTACTTGTATTTGATGTTAAATTGTTTAGAAATTTTGTATATTTTATGCTAAACTAGCTGTAAGTCAGTAACGGTTAGTGTCTGTTATAGTTATGATAAGATTAATCATAATATATCAGCGGAAAGACACTAAACTTCAATGAATTTTAGGTCTTTTTACGTTTAACATTATATTTGTTTATTTTTCCAGCATTTTATTTTTTATTTACGCTATAATTTGTTTTAAATTATCTGGAAATTCCTTAAAAACAAATCATACTGGTACATTATTCTTATTATATATATAAAACATTAATGTTTGCTGACATTCTATAAGGATTTTAATCCACAAGACTTGTGTTTAATATTAAAAAAATATATCAAAACAAAAACATAAAACTTAAAATTAGTTTTTCTTTCATTTGATTAATCCAATTGAATGCATAAAAAGTTAATACAATTCTCACTCATATTGGAGTTTATATAATATTTGTTCGCATTTATGACCGAATCCTTATACGACTACCAGTGCTAAAGGGGAGGGCAGTGATGGGGAAAGATAGGCATAAGTGATAGGTTTATGAGAGCAAACTCGTCGGATGGAGTTTCTATGGGAACGGTTGGGGTCTTCTGATCAAAATCCATACCTAAATTTCGATCGCCGTTTCGCCCCGCAGTCTGACTCTCCGCTTATGTATTACTCTCTGCAGACACCAGAGAAACACTAAAATTGCGGATAAGGGCTATGAAAGCACTGAATGAGTGGCACAAAAGGGAGGCTGAATGAGAGGAGAGAGAGAGAGAGACTGAATGAGAGAGAGAGAGAGAGACTGAATGAGAGGAGAGAGAGAGAGAGAGGCGAACACTGAGCGAACACAGAGAGAGACAAAAAATATATAGAGAATGATATAACGAATGGGAAGTTAGGCTCAAATGGAAATGTCTGCTAAACGTAAAGATGACAAAAATGAAGATCAATTCGTATGAAAGCCCACCATAAAAGGTATGTCCCCTCACTTACTCATTACTTATATGTATTCTCTAATACTATTATCTCTGATAATTGTATAAACAAATTATTATTCTTTGATTTACTACTAATTACACGAAATATTTTCCTTGTTTTGTATTATTTGAAACTTTTTTTATGAATCATCCAATACTACAGTATACTAA